ACATGTACCTTAGACGCTCACCCCTGGCCCCGGCGGAGGGAGGGAAGATGGGCGGACTACCCGTCTCCGAAGAGGAAAGTCCAGGTTCGAGCCTCGGTTTGGACACAGATTTTTTTCGTCCCCTCCTGTCCTCCCAGCAGTAATGGGTACCTGACTTCGAGCTGGGGAAGTAAAGGTGGCGTGGAAAGGAACTAGCCACCCTACCACAGTACGCCGAAGGCCCTGGAAGTTGTATCCTCATTAACAAGGCAATCCCCAATGTCTGGATCGGATGTGGAAACAACTTTACCTTTACCAACTACATACTCATTTGTACCGCAGTAACTCATCAAAGTCAAAGGGCCCTAAAGTAGCAATCTTTGCTGCGGCCCTTGATTCTCTGACATCGGTTTATTAAAGAGATTGTAAGCTTCTGGTGTCTTTGACTTTGAGGTTATGGTTACATGAATTTACATTCTTCCGTTAGCCTACAACTACAAAAGACGCGAGTTTGATTCACGTGAGCGGAAAATATGTGTGCCACTGAGTTCCTCTGACTTTCACACACACTCCCCCCGGGTTGGCCTTGGCTGTCCCCATGGTTTTATGCACCCCGTATAATTTAGCAAAATTTGATCAATTTTTGCATAATTTCAGATTATTTTCCTTTATCATTTATTGCTAAAATTAACTGAATCGCATAATTTCACATTTTTGGGCCCAGTTTGCCTACTTTCAGAATTTTTCTTGCATAAAACGACGGGGACAGCCTTGGCACAGTCATAAATGCAATTGGCCAAGTTATTTTTTTGTTGGTTCTGATTCTGGCCTCTGTGAACTGCGATGTAGTATCACGTATCGGTTGGCGCGTTGCTGTCGCATTCGGGAGACCCCAGTTCGATTCCCGAGCGGGGAGAATTTTTACAGAGAATCAATCTTTCTTCTTAGTCTTTTTGTTGGGATGTTGAAGTAACAAGGTAAAAGTAAAAGTAATTGTTTTATTTTTATATTTTATCAACTCGGCAGACAATTACATCCAAACAAAATTTACATCGTACATCACCTTACTTAGAATAAGTTAGAAGCAAACTGAACAGTAAGGCATGAATTTTTATTGTTCATAATGTGTTTCTATATATACCTTTACATTTACATAGCAGCAGCAGAAGAAAGGACAACACACAAAGTTTCTGACATACACCATACATCACAGGGTACAAAAGACTTCACTTTGCAGACATTGCAATATTCTCTCTCTCTCTCTCTCTCTGAAGAAATGTAACAAAATCATTTCCCACCCATAACTGTATACCTCTGATTACTCTGAATGGAGACAACAACAAATTTGCTATGAACAGCCAATCCTATTACAAAGGCGAGCATAACAGAAATGTGAAAACTTATGAAGTTGGATATTGGAAAGAGAAGCATACACCTGTCCCCGGGGTTTTATGAACCCTGCATAAATTAGCAAAATTTGATCATTTTTCGCATAATTTCTGATTATTTTACTTTATCATTCTTTGTTAAAATTAACAGAATCGCATAATTTCACATTTTAGGGCTCAGTTTGCATAATTTCAGAATTTTTCTTGCAGAAAACGACGGGGTCAGACATACATACTTTTTTCACTTCTGACACTTACACTACGATCCCTATTAGATCTTTGTCGTCTCAATTAATTTATACATGCAGAACAATAAAATAGAGAAACACAATAGCATTAGATTATATAAGTCTATGGTGTATCAGCTCTTAAAAAAGGCTCACAACGTATGAATGTGATTCGATGGTTTCAGGGTAAAGACAAGGCCAAGAAAATAATGGATGGATGGAGTCATCGAGACTCTTCAAAGGCACACTATAATAATAATTATAATATTATAAGGGGGAGGCCGCATTACAAGCGAGAGAGCGAGGCTGAGCGGGAACGAGATGTAAAACATAATTCTGTTTAAATGGTAATACTAATACTAATACTAATACTATGAGTATGATGAACGGTTCCTGCAGGAGTCTCGCCAGCTTTGAGCGAGACTATAAGTATACTTCGCTATGTTTCTTCTCGCTACGCGCTCGGCATGGCTCATTTTGAGACAGACAGCGACGCCACCCTGCCCCCCCTCATTTCTTTAGTGTTTGCAGATTTCATCCCCCCGGCTGTCTAAACTACTAAACTTCTTCACGTGAGTCTAGAAAATTACTCGCCCCATCTCTTGAATTTGAATCGTGTTTCTGACCTATGGACCAGCCATTCAACACACCAGTTTTCACCTCAATTGTTTCCCGCTAGCTTGCCGCTTATTCCCCGATTGAGAAAAGCAACTCATAGTATGGCCACCCCCATGTTTATCGCTCATTGCTAGCTTCAGCTTTCACTTGTGAGTGATGTGGCCTCACACTTATGACGATCTAAAAAGCAATACACCTGGAACACATGAGACAATTACAATTTACATTATCCATGATCTCCCCTTGACACCTTGCTGTATACTATTATTACTACATGTATACTATAAGATAAGAGGACAGAAAGCTCTTATTATAATCTAATGTTTTAAAATATTTAAACAGCTCATTCAAAGAAAAGAGAAATCCACTACACCTGGAAAATCACAATACCGGTACACATAATTTACATCAGTCCAACCATTGATAAAGAAAATCTAGTTATGTTCAAGTATGGTAAAGAAAAATATATCGACCCAATTTTGGTCATGTAGTGCTGTGGAAAAATCAGGACTGACATTTCATAGTTTCATAGACGGGCAGAAATAATAAAGTGAAGAAAGCAAAAAAAGCAGGGCTTTTTAGAGGCACCTTCCATCTACAGAGAAAGTCACGGTGAACGTTGCGATGATGATGTGCAGTTTTAGTGTAAGAGTTTATTTACAGTTCCAGCACTTACAACACAAAGAGGAAGGTTATGTAAGTGCTGAAGATTAAAAGGTGTTACAATAACAAGAGAGTAACAAACACAAAAGAGGTGAGAAAATTGAAAATGACGATAGATGTTGGATTTGGATGGGAAAGAAAGAGCAAACAAACCACGTCAGAGCACCTGCCAACCCCCCTATCGATGATGTTAAGAGGGGGACACAGAAAGGACAAAACATTTAAACTTTTTTTGGGGGGTAAGTGTTTTAGGGCGCTCGCAACTGCATAAGGTCATATGAGAACGCAGGACACATTAAACATTTTCAGTCGGTAGGAAATTTGGAATTTTGGTCGGGTAGTGGCCGCAGCCCACTCTTACCGATTTTGGACCACCAAGGGATCTTTAACGCAAGCAACCTGCATAAGGGACCTCTGAGAATAGATCCCCCCCCCCCCTGCCCGGGAAGGCTAGGTGTAGATCTCTCCAACCAGAAGATCAAGGGTGTGGCTGAAAGTAGTAAAAGACAGCAGTAAGAAGGAACCAAGGAGTAGCAGTCGAAAGGCTGCAGTCGGGAGCCCAGGGGAGGGGGCAAAGGGGTTGTTGAGGGGATTGGGGGTGGGGGCAGAAAGTGGAGATGAAAGCAGACAACAGAACATTGCTTGAGAGCAGGAAAGGAGGTGAAAGGAGACAATTTTGAGAAGAAAAGTTTCCATTGCTACCCGGATTCGAACCCGGGACCTATATATTTGAATGAGAGGCGAACACCTTAACCTCTAGGTCAAGAGAGCCCCCATTTTAACTTTTAACAGAAACGACTGAGCTGAGTTTGGTCTCCATTAGCACTCAATGGAAGGAAGGGAAGATAACATCTGCTGTTACATTCACTAAAACTAAAACACAGGCACACGTCACGGCAATGGGTAATGCACAAGAGATTGTTTCAGTTTGAGTAAAGAGAAGCACATCGACACAGTAATGGCCATTTAGTAGGTACCAGAAACTAAATTTTCAAAGTAGTTGTATGCCAAATTTATCAGTTCCATTTGAAAGGCCTATATCGACTGAGCATTTTGGTACCATTCTTTAACTTTAACCTCTCAGTCAATTTTTAAGAAAATGGTAGTTGTTTTAAACTTGATCAAATTTGTTAAAGTCAGTCACTGGCTGCAACCCCATGTTTGACAGACAATAAAAGAGTACCAACAGCACTAAACATCTCCACATTAACAGAGTACAATCACTATAACAAATATATGGAGCCTAATTTTTTTCAAGACTGTGAGATCATTACAAATCAGTATTTTATCGCCTCAAACACGATGATCTGTCGTTATTTCGACAAAAACACCGAGCGTTGACCCCGCCAGCGCCGCACCGGGCGAGTCAGCTCTATACTGTAGTGTACCCCGCGTGCGGGGTCACATGCTTTCTGAGTCTCGCGGAAGGATTGATGAAAAATAATTCCAAGCTGATTACTTTATTCTAATAGGAAATAAGCTGATCTTTTATTACATATATTTTTTAGGCCGGCATTTTTCATATTATGGGTAAAAAGTGACCTTTAAACATTTTGACAGTATTTTTAAAAGCTTTCTATTTAGACGCCAAAGGCAAAACATATACCACGGGAAAGCCCGTTTAAAGCTCTACAGTCTCCGCCAATGAAAAGACGGTATTTAATCATCCTTCGTTCCGCGAAGCATTTGAATGCACCCGTGTCAATTTTTCAACCGGCCGACGACGCATTCCGATCGCGAGGGGCTTCGCTTTCGTCGGCGATTCTCCAGCTCCTACTAATCGGACATAAAAACAACTTACACCATTGTAACGAGGAAAAGCTGAACTTTTACAAGGTGTACGGCACTTGGTGTTTTATAGCGAAAGAGCAAAGAAACAGCGATCGGAATTACCCTGATACCACGCGATCGGAAGGCCGCGAGTGCCTGCGAGGCCGTGTTTACGCTACCTACATTTAGTGCTAGTAAAAAGTCAGACAGACAGACAGAAACAACACAAGGAAAGTAAAGACATATGTATCATGTATGTAGGACTCTACCAGTGGCACCCTCCAACCACTTGCATGCAAGAAATGAGACAAAAGTAACCAGTCTTAATAACACACACACAACAAAATTGATTATACATGGAAATCTTTTTGTTACAATGTACAAATTTTGCCATGTACAAGTTTTTATTATGATTATTATTATAATACCGGTACAAAGAATACAATAAATAAAGTAGAGGTCCTGAAAATCTGCCTGTTGTGCGCGTGTGTGTTTTTGCTAGGTAGGTGTGTGTGCTGGACTACATATATATTACATGTAATAACAGAATATTATGTGGTATAACATTTTATAAGAGACGGGTCGGGACTTAAAAAACTACATCCAAAGTTACAAAATGTCACAACATGGAACGCAGACATTTGTGGACGTAACTGGCGGTATGTGTCACACTCTCTCTCTATATATATATAAAATTTTAAAAAATGTAAACATACTTTACATACGCCCCATCTTCGGCAAAAGCAAAATACGAAAATGATTCTATTTTTTTCATGAGGCTTAAATTTTATCGAGCTGAGGTACAGACAGGTGGCCAGAACTTTATAGCACAAGTACACAACAAAAAGATTATAATGCCCTGAATTCACTCACATTCTCAGGTATTTTCAGTTCAGGTCATTATGTCTGCAGTTTTTACCATTTCTGATTGATTCATTTCTTCTTTTGCAAAAACCCGTTTCAGATTCGGCGAAACCCAATCACAACGAGACTGCCAAAACAACAAAGAGGACAGACAAAAATAATCTGGAACAGGTTCCATTCTTGTTTGGGAGCTTGATCCAGTTAGAACGATCCACTACTGTCAGGAACACATGGTGGTTTTTGCTTCCATAGTCACTTACTACTTCAAAAAATTACAACAAAACAAATCACACCCGGTTCTCTTTATCCACGTTGCCGTTAAGCGACACGCCCGGCCTGATGCCGGCCAGCAGCTGTTTGGGGATGGCGGGTCGGGGGGAGTTGTCGACCAGTGACAACGGCGACCGAGGCTGCAGCCCAGATTTTGAGTTCAAAGCCCCGAGCCGCTTGTCCACCAGACCCTGGCCTCGGCACTTCAAGACACACTGCGACTTGGGCGTCTCTCCCAGCTCAACCCTCGAGAGAACCGGCTCTGTGGTGAGGGGGACAAAGATAACAATGAATGATAAATCACATCTCTATACATAACATATGTGAATAATTGATCAATCATATATATAATAATAAATAATAAATCACATCTATAGTGTATAGATAACTAATAACAGTAAAATCACATATCTATAGATAGCAATAAATAGATCATTATATCTATGATAAATCACATCTATGTACAGATAACAATAAAATCACATATAGATAGCAATAGATTTAAATAGATTATATCTATGATAAACCACATCTCTATAGATAAATAACAATAAATGATAAATCATATAGTATATAACAATAAATGATAAATCACATCTATAGTCCATAGATAACAATAAAATCACAATATCTATAGATAGCAATAAATAATAGATCATATATATATATATGATAAATCACATCTCTATAGATAACAATAAATGATAAATCATATCTATGATAAATCATATAGTTTATAACAAAAAATGATAAATGACATCTATAGATAAATAATCGAATTACGGATCCCTCAAACAACTATGTATGTATGTGTGAACCAAACAAAAATAATGTAATGATAATACAGCAGAACACGGCTATAGCGGGACTTTTGGTTCCAGGAGAAAAACCGCACTGTAGACGAGTTCCCGCTGTAGGAATGCAAAGGGGAAAATTACCGAAAAATTCCTAAATATCCACACGATTATATCCCTTCCATATCCCTAAAATTTGCGTTATATATTAGTCTTCCTTTTATTGTCAACTTTGTTGATTATCTTGGCCTTTAATTCGAGTGAGAAGCAATTCCTTTATTTAGTCTTCGTTGGAAGTCATCTTTTTCTCGGTTTGTTGCTTGTGCTGTCTATCGTACCGGTACGCCTACAGTAATCTGGTGAAATGGATGCACGCGTATAGATCTACATCACTTTTGGAGTGGTTCACGTAACGCATCTCTCCGCACTATCTCTCCCTGGGCCTACCTACTACCTCACCTCTCTCATCTACTGGACTAGCCAATCACAACGCCGCATCGCTGACTGCCTGTTGGGAGCCCGCATACAGCCCCCCCCCCCCAACCCCCCCAACCCCCGCTAGAGCTCGCTCGATCTCTCCCGCTGTATCCTCGGGACTTTCCTTTCCCTGCTATATCAAAGCATCAGTAATTGAGTTTACATCTAGGGTGAAAAAAGGGGATTCTGGTTAGGTCCCGCTGTAGGGTTTAGCGGGTGCCGATATAGTCATGTTCTACTGTAATATAATTTAAATAAAAATAGATTGTATAATTTATATATATATAAATAGAATATATAGCGCTCTGTCCCATACAGAGTATAAGCTCTGTGAGATAATAACGAACCTGTGCTGCCAGCAACAGTGGATGACAAGCTCCTCAAGTCCTCCGTCTCAAACACCTGCCCTCCCAGCAAGTGGCCGTGGTTGTCGCCCGAGGCGCTTCCGTCGGGGCAAAGGCGGGCCAGCGGCGTGGTCTCCCCGGCGCTGAGGGGGAAGCTGAAGTGGTGGAGGGAGTCCCCGTCCTGCTCACTTGGGCATGGCTTGTCGGGGCTGATCACAGAGTCGGGGCTTCTGGTCGACACCCCTTTTTTTTTTTTTTTTTTTTTTTGTGGGGGGGGGGGGGGGGGGGGGAGTAAAAAATCAATGTATGTTGTTGCGCAGTAATCAGGCTCTTTACCACCATGTCAAACTTACATTTTTGCCTTGTAAACGGCTTACGGTAGCCTGCTTACTCCTGGCTTTGGTGGAAGTAAGGTTTAATCTAAAAGACAAAGTGGTGCTGAATGACAACATGAGCTCTCTCTGTGCACAATGTGTGTTAAAATATAAGACAGTTGCACATGATGTAGTGACGTAAAGTGTCTGGGTTTTCTTCTTTATGCTGAGAGGGTGGGGGATGGGTTTGGGTCGCCAAATGAACTGTTCTTGAAAATTAGAATCAAGTGTTTTACGATCAGAATAAAAAAAAAATTGAACCCCCCTCCCAAAATCCCCCCCACAAAAAACAGGTAACAATTCTACCAAAATCATAATGATGGGCAGCCTTGTTAAATGGCTTAGAATAATTTGAAAATGAGAGGAAGAGAGAGAGAGAGAGGAACAGAGGTGGGGTGGTGGAAGGGAGAGAGAACGAGACAGAGAGGGTCCGTACTACTGAACTTACATTACATCTCCTACCAGTCATGTCTAGTAGCCTACTAGTAATACTCTAGTACGGTTTAAACAACCAAATGAAAAGTGCAGAAATAATGATAAAAGATAAAATCTTTTCAACTGTATAATTCTAAAAATCTATTGTAACAATGCAACTGTAAGAATAATACCTCCGATAAACTATCATTATATAAATCTTTTATGCAGTTGGCTATGGATGAGTTGACATTGTTAGGGGAGTGAAAAAAAACAAACCCAGTCAACTCATCCACAGTTCAGCTGAACCGTTGGGATCTGTGTAAAAGTAAAGAAGAAGAAGTGCAGGGACCCGAGAAAAAGATCAACTTAATCGAAGATCAGCTAAATCGGAGTTGACTGCAGTATGTTACTAATACTAGGTAGACAAAAGGAGCAACTTCATCAGCCAACAACATCTTAGTTTTAGTTTTTAATTTAGTAAGGTTTAATGGCGTTCGCAACTGCTAAGGTCATTATGAGCGCCATGGGGTGGATGTCAACAGAGAAGTCCAAACGGGGAATCAGGCTTTCTCTGCTGGACTCTCTATCCTCAACAGCACAAAGTCTGCTTCGACTATCAAGGCACCCCGGAAATAGTTCACAAGAGAGTGACAAGCATACAAAGGAAGTAGAGGTAAAAATGATGATAGTAAGGATGAGGAAAGAAAAAGCAGCAGTTCCCTCCCTATGTTTTCCGGCACAGTATGAGCATGACATTGATAAATCAGCCCATTTACTATAAGTGATATTTACAATTCTACTGTGCATAAGAACAATATATTCCCCCTTTGGGAATGGCCTAAAGGCACTTCAGTCAGCAGCAGTAGCACTGCCCTGGTGGGGGGCGGCAACACCCAATAACAACGTCGATACAATACGTGACACGTACGCTATGCGAATGTGCAAGACTTACAGGCATTGTAGGAGAAGGAGGAATGTGAGTCCCCTCTCACATCGGGCGACACTTCGGTGGAGTCTATCCCCGACTCCGAGGAAGCGTACGCCAAACCAGAGCTTGGAGCACCGGGTCCGACTACTAGTCCGACTCTCGCTGGGCTCACACGTCTGCTCTCTGAATTCAGAGTTTGTAAAAAAGAACACCAAACAAACAAAAGTGTCAACATTGAATTAGATGTTATCTTTCTAAATAATTCTCATCAGTCATTACATTACAATAATTACATTGTCAACCTACCCAAAGTACCACCAACAGGTACCCTCACACTGACAACTGACAAGGGGACTCCTGTGGCCTAGAGGTTTTAAAAGGTATTGAATCAAATGCCTCTCATTCAATAGGTCCCGGGTTCTAATCCGGATAGTGACAGACATTTTCTTCTCTAAATTTGTCTCCTTTCATATCCTTTCCTGCTCTGTAAGTAACACTTCTGTCATCTGCTTTCGCCTCCACTTTCTGCTCTCACCCCCTCACCTCCTTTGCCCCCTCATCTGGGCTCCTGACTCTTTCTGCAGCCTTTCTACTGCTACTCCTTGGCTCCTTCTTACTGCTGTTTTTCACACCCCAGCTGATCTTCTGGGTAGAAAGATCTACACCTAGCCTTCTTGGACAAGGGCGAAAAATCTCGGAAGTCCCGAGTGCAAGTTGTTAACGTTAAAGATCCCTTGTTGGTCCAAAATCGATGAGTAGGCTTCTCCCCCTCCCACCCTTCCCTGAGGGAACCAGAATGCAATTCAAAAGCTGACCATGCAAACCTGATTGATAAATTGCTACCCCTTAAAACTTTTAAACCATCAAATTCGATGAAACAGGGAGGTATTTTCCCATTCGTTGGGCAATTTTTATCCAATTTTTTATTTGGGGCTCATCACATTTCATGTTGATTTACTGAAAATCGTCAAAGGTATAAAAAAAATTGTAAATTTGCAGTTTCCAAGGGTACTTAGACTTTCGAGGTCACCAAACATTGGTGGCCATTTTACCGCTTATATAGTATTTGACGCCAGGCGACCCCACCTTCTTCAAACTACAAATGTTTCGACTTCTCATCAAAAGCAAGACAAATGAACAAGCTTTTTAATCCATCCGTACGCCCTGGGGTTGTATTCTTCACATTTTAGAATACTTCTAGTATGAAGATCTCTTTGAAACTTTCAGTATTTTAAAAAATCATTTTGACAGACTGCTATGCAAAGCATACAGGTCGGATTAATGTGTAAATTTCCTCTTTGGAAAGTGGTGGCACAGAGTTCCCAACGTTGTATGGATACGATAGTAAAACTACACAACGTACAGATCTAATAGAAGGGTTAACAAGCCCCTGATTTCACCACGCTGCGACACATAGTCCCAAACAAATTATGATTAAAACAACAATTAATAACAAAATTGAAGAATCACAAAAGAATTATGACTTTATATCTATCCAATCATCATATTAAAAAAAAAAATTTCACAGGCTACATCATTTTTACATTATAGTTCAAGAAAAACTCTTGCAATGCATTCAAAGCTGTGTTTGGCTACTTAAATTTACTTTTAACTTTTAGTCTTTTATAAAATGTGAATCCCACATTGCTTAGATTTAAAATGTATATCCCACATTGCTATCTCATAGCTGCCACTCAGGAATTTAAAAAAAGGAGGAAATTCACGCGAAGGCGTAGCGCGCTCTCTGAAACCAGTGAGATCCAGAGGCAATATATATACTGGAAAATCTAGCCTACGGTTTTGGAAGGGAAAACTGTCATATTGTTGACCATAGGCAACGGAATTAAAATGTATTTGAAAAAAACAAAACAAAACAACAACAACAAAAAACCATAAAGGTACTAAGTTGACTAACAAGCATTTGAGTCAATTTGGCACAGCTTCGACTTGGTGATTAAAAATCCAGCGTTTTTTGCCAGCTGGTGTCTCATAAAAAGATTTCTTTCACTTCAAAAGATGTAGAGCAGTATCGGATCAAGGAGGCAGGCACTCCTGTACAATTGCGGTCCCGTTTGCCTTGCACTTAGTGCCCCTGTAGTGTGTTTCTTATTTAGAGGATCTAAACTGAAATAAAATTATAGCCTAGGCTATCTAATCTAGATCTAGAATCTAGAGATATAATCTAAATATGTGTAGATCTAGATTATATCTAGAGATAGATTTATATCTAGATCTAGATTCACTTCCACAGCCACAATAGCCGTCATGTAAACAAACGGGACCGCAATTGTACAGGAGTACAATTTCCTGCTTCTTTCTCATTCCAGCTCCTTTTAATTTTGCGTATTCTGCATCAATTTCGCTCAAATTCCCGCCGTTTTCAATGACAACTCGGCGCGCCAACGTCCCGATGCCCGATCGACACTGTGTTGCTCCACCCACAACAATAAACAATGTGAAACTAGCACTGGCTGGGCCAAGAAGAACGGAAGTAGAAAGCTTAGCTACGGGCAGACATTAGGGCTGGATCCTGCTCGTAAAATTTGAGAGTGGCGATTCGCGATTCAGTCGGCTTCAATGAATCGCGAGTACGCGAGAGCTCGTGGAGCTGTGGCGGAACACTGACTGAAACGGAACAGTGTCATATCAACGCCTCTTGGTGAGCACGAGTCCCACTCTTGTTGTTCCACCATCCTCTCCGCCCCACACCCTTTGTTGCGCTGCTCTATCAACTGACCTCAATTAGTGACCCCCATAAATTCCCCCCCCCCAACCCCACCATTCGCTAAAACAATGGCTCCATAAAATTCCTTCTGTCTATTGGTTGGACCCCGTTCATTTTGTTTTAATAGGGGGGTTGGACTATACCATCTTTTGTAAAATAAGGGGAGCCATACTAAGTGTTCCGTTCCATTCTTGCGCTCGTGACTCGACTCAGTAGTAGGTTAAACTAGCCACAAGGTGGTGACAGCGACATGGGAGTGAATCGGGAATCGTTTGGCGATACTGTTCCGCGTTCCGCTGAAGTGAATCGTGTTCCGCAGGAAAGTGACGATTCAGTTCCGTTCTCGCGCTCGTGACCCAGCCCTAGCAGACATGCGCAAGCCGCGTTTTCGTCTCTCTCCCGGTTCGGTGTTTTCCTCGGGGAAAAAAAAAAATGAAATTTGCGACCAAGAGCGGTCCAGCGGAGGAAGGAGGAAAGTAGCGGGAAAAGCTAGATGAAGCGGAGTTTCCGCTATTTAGCGGGAAAGTGGCAGCTATGTATCTATCTATACACACATGATCATGAGGCCTGTGTAGTAAAAGTGTGAGAAAATGTCACCTGATGACGAGCACGGAGGGATGATTGGAGTCCTCAGGAACTCGCATGTTGGTGACCTGGGATCCAGGACTAAAGACGGGATGGGCACGGGCTCAGGGGTCGCAAGGCTGGCGCTGGAGACACTTTTGTCCACCACAATGGGAGTGCGAAAGATATGCTCCGATGGTGACCTCGGGTCAAGGTCAAGGATTCGTTTGTGGCGAAGAACTGTCGGTGTTGAATCGTTGGTCTCTGCTTGTGGCTCCGATGACTCGGACGACTGAGGTACAGTGCTGTCAGTGTCGTCGTACAACATATCCAGTACGGAGTTCAAGGCACCCATCTCTGCCAATACTGGCTCTGAAATACAGCGTTCAAGAGAAAGCAAATGAGCATTGCTCCTTTATCAAGCTACTGTGTAGAAGAGAATGACACAATAATGACATTTCATTTGAAGAACAAAGTGTATACAGACCCGTTAACCGGGAACAAAGTCACGAAATATACAGACCCGGTAGGGGAACTCTTTTGTAATTTCGGAAAGTTTCAGCGCCCAGACCCGGTAGTGTGTGTGTGTGTGTGTGAGAGAGAGAGAGAGAGAGAGAGTAGGGGGAAGTGCTAGCAAACAAATGTATATGACATGCCCCAGTTGGCTGGAGGGAACGAGAGAAAGATAGAGTAGAAAATAGGTGGGGAGAAAGAAAGACAGAGACAAACAAAGAAAAAGAGAATGCGAGCGATACACAGAGACAGGAGAGAGAGAGAGAGGGGGGGCAGAGAAATAGACTTTTTATAGAGAGGGTGACTGCTCGAGTGAAATTATGACATTGTCTTCAATTGTGATTTCTCCAACTCCAAAACGGAGGAAAAACGATCGTTCCTCGAAAAGATATCCGCAATCTTCATTTAGATCTAGATCTAGATTTTGGCTAATCTCGAAACTAGATCAATGATTTATGGCCTTCGATGATTTATGTCTGTCTGTCTAGATCTAGGCCATAGATCTAGAAGGACCTAGGTCTACCCTGAGCCAAGAGGGCGCTGAAACTTTCCGAAATCACAAAAGAGTTCCCCTACCGGGTCTGTATACTTTGTGACTTTGTTCCCGGTTACCGGCTGTATACACTCCCTTTGAAGAAAGAACATGTTATTTTGTCTCTAAAAAAGTCTTTATTGTGATGTGAGTAAAAGAAACTAAAATTAGGCCATAAAAATCTAGAGTCAACCTTTCTCCCCAGCTAAGGCTCAAGTCCAAGGTTAAACAGTTTTAGAAAACTAGATATATTGATCTATCTAGTCTAGATTTAGAATTATAATTTTTTTCTCTCTAGATCTAGTTTTAAAGGTCTCCCTGCTGACCGAGATCCTGACGCAGCAGATTCAAATTCAGCTTGAAAATGAAAGAGTTTGGCGTTTTAACTTCTACGTAAAATCTAGATCTAGATTCTAGATTAGATCTTTAGACTCTAGCCTGGCCTAGATCTAGATCTAGCTAGAATAGATCTAGAAATCTAATTAAAGTTTACGGAAGTAAAGTTTAAGTTTAAAGTTAGGCCTAAGCTGAAGGATTTATAACTGACTACCGACTAATCATTTTTCTTCTCAGTAATTAGATAGATCTAGATCTCTAAATTTTCTAGATCTAAATCAGTAACAGTGCTTACCACGAGCAAGTTTTCCAGGCCCAGGTTATCACACTTCACTGCACCTAACTGCAATACCAGGTTGTCTTTCCCGTTTCACTTTTTTTCCAGATCTGCGACTGGCGAGCCTCCTAACCTAATGAATGACCAAGACGATACACAATTGATATTGTACAGCGTTCAAAGAGTTTGACTAACAACACCAAGTCGAATCGTACATGAGTCACTTTGCTCCTGTGACTTGAGTCCAAAGCACAAACTTTTCATGTGACTTCGTTTTAATTATTTGTTTTCCTTCCTCTCCTTCCTCGTTTCTTGCCTTCCTTCGCTGACTTACTTTCTTTCTTCAAACTTCCCGGCGTTGAGCCAATAACAGACTCGGTCTCCGCACTTGACGAGTCTTGATTGGCTAACGACTGGTGTGTAAATAGACCAAAGTCAGGGGCGTCTCCGTTCGTATTTACTGATAGCCTTGTAACTAAATTTAACGTTCAGATCTAATTTATTTTCAAATTCTAAGCCGAAGAAATATTATTATTTTTATTCGTTTACCTTTAAAATGAACTAAATCCCCGCCTTTGCAAACATCTCTTTTATCTGGCTTTTTTTGGAACGTTAATTTGCTTGTTCTACATTTTCTTTTTTTCTAGTTTGTCGCAGATGCCGTTGCTGTCTTCTTCTTCTTCTTCTTCTTCTTCTTCTTCTTCTTCTTCTCCTTCTTCTTCTTCTTCTTCT